CCCCATAAAAAGTTATGGGGGTTCAAAGTTAATAAATATGCCAATTTTTATACATTTCTAGGCATGTAAATATTTATATAGTCATTCTTAAACAATATTCAAAGGTAAAACTAATGAAAAATACATAAAAATATTGAGAAAGTTATATAAAACGTTATTTAAATATCTTTATCAATAGTGTAGGTTAGGTTAGGTTAGGTTATCGGGTTTTGTTCAAGTGACCACCCTCTTTCGATCCCCCACCTCCATCTGCTTGATAATATTTTTTTTATTGAACTTTATTTGAATTATAGTGTATGAAAATTGTCAAAATAATCAACTTTCAACCCCCATAACTTTTTAAGGGGGTGAGACCGCCGCAAATTTTTTATGGGGTTTTACTCAGGTGACCACCCTCTTTCGATCCCCCCTACCCCCACCCACATAACTTTTTATGGGGGTGAGACCGCCACGAACTTTTTATGGTACAGTGGTGGGGGAGACCTCCTCTTTCGATCCCACGGAGGGGGTGGGGGCCATCAACTAGACATCTACCAAAATTGCTTCAAAAAAGTTGCCAGTGCGCTGGAGCTCTACAAAACGACATTTTATTCTGAATTCTCCGGTAGGTTCAATAATAATTGAGTATATTTCGCTATCTATATCAAAACCGGATCCATATATGGGCTTTTCGGGCTACAGCCCAGGGCCGGGCCCCCGGCTCAATTGAAGAAAATGGATAATTTTGTGAATTTAGAAAAAAATAATCTAAATGCTTTATAATTTATATAACAGAACTACAAACAATTGTCCAAATTTTTTTAAAGGAAATAATTTTTTAACAAAATGGTAATTAACTCGATTAATTAAGTACGGTTAGCCCAGGATCTCCCATGTTCACAGTCTTACCCTCTCTATATTTAATCGTTAGCTCCCTTAATTGTAGGAGGCCAAACAATAATAACAATTTATGTTAAAACGTACTCCATTTTTGTAATTTATCTCTTTTATTAGCAATTTAATTTGCGATTAGAATTAAATTCTTTAAAGTAATTATCCGGGGGTTACTTACCTCTTGATAAAAGTCCCGATGAGGAGCCGCTTGTAAGTCTGGGCGTTTATAATTTTTTCTCGAGTAAAAAACATCTTCAACATCTGTAAATCCTGCGTACTGTTCCACAAGAAGTAAAAGAGGCTGAAGGCAAAGCAAAGGAGTTGTTGTGCCACAAGTTTTTAAAATGAACCGCCTCTTCGATATAAACATAGAGCTTTCACTGAAACCGAGAAAAATGCCATGCTTTTTATACAAATTTAATTGTTGATGTAACAATTTATCATTTATTTTTTAATTTTAATACATAATATACTTCACAACGTACAAGATAATAAAATAGTTTGAGTTTCGCATTTCAATTAAAGGAACTTTAAAAATGTTACAATTTAATATTTACTTTAAACGATAATACAAATGAACCATCTTTCATAGTAGCCTTGCCCTTGATTAGTATTACAATTGTCTGCCAAATAAGCTGATACCCTTTCTATACATTTATATAAAGATGCGAATTTTATTAAAATGATAACCTTTGATCGTCTAATAGTGGAATGAATCATTCAAAAAACTCAAAGCAGTGGCGTAGCAAACATCTCGCCTCCTTGCTATCCCGAATAGTTGACATTCATTGGAAAGTGACAAAAAAAGAAGAATGAACATTTTTTTAATGAAGGTATCTATTATAAATAGTATAAAAATTAAGTCATTTTTTGTATCATCTATTTATTTTACTTATATGCAATCATCTAAAAAACACAATTTGGATTGCAAGAT